CATATTCTTCACAGATAACGTACACTCTAATTTCCAGCAGTTGGTTTTTGGTTTTTTTTTTTTGTTTTGTTTTTTTACAAAGAAACGTTTACACAATTCTATCAGCAGTTACACAAGCAATTTATATATCCTTAGCCAAAGTAAACTGGATCAACTGGAGAGTGCTGTAGCTAAGGGAGTTTCTTGTTTGTTTAATCAAAAGCTGGTTGTCAGCTTATTTTCTACTTAGGGATTTCTACACCATTATGCAAACTGTTCAGTGCTTCAATTTAACAAGAAAAAGATGAAATGCAGTTGCTCAGCCAAACCACACTTCACTTCTTCCATCCGCCTTTCATGGGAAAGTTTAATTTTGCCAACTGCCATCAGAGTAAAATCTTTAGAATTTTTCAGATTTTATCCAAATTTGTTCCATTACTATTGAATTTCAGAAGTGAGCCAGTCCTTGCTTTTTCCTGCCACTTCAGTTAACGATGGATATTTAATCACCCTGAAATTGCCTTTTTGCTTTACTCATAGCAAGGGTGAGGAATCTGAATCTCATGTGCAAGGCTCAAGATGATGCTTAGGACAGAACATGCAGAGTAAACGTTGTTTCTTTCCATATCCAGGTAATATAAAGCTGACAATTGTAGTCCTGTCATTATGGGTAATGAAAATAGTCCCTTTACAATGAACTTCCTGCAAGGGAGAACAAATAGATAATAACTCTTCTGGTAACATGTATGGTACACTGGCCAGTGTGTTTTTGGCGTTTAATGTAATCCTGTGAATTATTTTAATTCACTTGCTGAGCATTCATTTGAGGCATTCCTCTGCTGGGTCTTGGGGGCCCTCCACGACCTAGAAAATAAAGAGAGCACTTAATTTTGGATCAAACCAAACAGGTTTAGAACTCAAAGGGATCAGTTTCAAGAACTTTGTTTGGAATTTACATTAACATTAATGCATGCTAAATGTCCACATTAATATTAATGTATGCCTTTTAATATCACTGCATGTTCAATATCCGAAACAGATGCATATGCAACTAATGAATCTTCTAATGTAAATTCTTAGGATGTCTGCCTTGACAGTTTTTCATGGCGTTACTCAGAACTTTGCTAAATAACTTAGATTCCAATGAAATGTTTCCCCCCCAGTGAATTCAATATTCAAGTAACAAATGACAACTGATAAAGCACCACTCACGCCCATATTAACAGGAAAATAAATCCAACATTAATTAAAGTTAAGCTACTTTACTAGCTGTTGGTTAGTATTTTAGAGGAATTCCAGGCTTAAAACAATTAAACTAGGATTCCTTCTTATAAATACCAACCAGCCAGCTAGTAACTTTGCTCTCACTTTCCTGTTCATGCACCGCAAGCTACATGGAAGTCTCAACTGCAGTCTTAAAAAAAAAAAAAAAAAAA